CATTTATGTCACAAACAATGCTAAAGTTGAAGAAATCAAAAAAATGACTAGCACATGGGCATAAAGACTACTTCAGTCATGGGGGCCAGCAGGTGGTATGGTGGTTAGGGGTGCTGGACTCCCATATGGCCGACCATGGCGAGTCCCGGACCAGGAGGCTTTCTTTCTCACTTTCTCTTGCTCTCTCTCACTCTGTCCCTCTGTGGTCAAATTGAAATAAATAAATAAATAAATAAATAAAGTTAAATAAAAAATACTAATTCTAAAAATAAAAAGACTATTGAAGTCTTTAGGTTGTTATAGTTTCTTAAATATTACAAAAATCAAATTTGGAGGGCAGGCAGGTGGCATGGTATTTAAGACAGCTAGACTCCCACATGGCTGACCATGGTTCAAGTCCCAAACCTGGCAGCTTGCTTTCTCACCTCCTCTCTCTCTCTCTCTCTCTCTCTCTCTCTCTCTCTCGTCAACTTTAAAAATGATAATAATATTATTAAAATAATGACAATGAATTAAAAAAATTTTAAGTCAAATTGAGTTTGTCTTTTTTTCCCACATAAGGTCTAGAACACAGTTTTCCATGTATGTTTTCTTAAATTTCCATTTTAAGTGACAAATGCTTATTTAAAATGCAATTCAAGGCTTTTGAACCATACATTTTAGTGGCGTGTACGTGTGTGTTGAAACCAAATTCTGCGTGAATGTGCACTAGGAGCAGACATTCGGGTGAGAAAAATAAGAACACAGATCTGTAAAGACATGCAGAGGAATGTGCGTGGTTTGGCTGGGAGGCTCACAATCAAGACCAAACTGCACCACATACTGGCTGGAAAAGTTAATTAAGTCAACTTAACTAATAAGTTACTCAATAACAAAACGTGTTTGTTTGTTTGTTTGATCTGAATCATGAAATGGCAGACAGGAGAGAAAACGCATGTAACGACATTCATTTGGTTCTTAATACCGAACTCATTTTCAACTGCTCAGTTCCAAATCAGTGAATTGCAGAGCTGGTAAAGAAAGCTTAAGAACCTCCTAGAAACAGTAGTGATCAATACGACCTGTTACAGCAGCCAGATGATTCTGTTTTCCTTTTTCTGAAAAGCCTCAGTGTAGCTATCAAAGCATTTCTGAAATGTTTGTAAAGAGAAGGAGAAGAGACAGAGACAAAGGGACAGGGGAGACCGGAGGACAGAAGCACAACTGGCTTGGCCATGGCAGTCACCAGCCAGCTCTTCCAGAGCACACCACCCTTGGAAAACCTGCAGCCCACGAGCTCCAAACTCAAACCAGGAGCAGGACCAAAGCCCACACTTGCCTGCGACAGAGTGAGTGTGGGGAGAAACCGGATGCCAGAGAGGGAGCGTGCAGAGCACGGAGGATCTGCAGTGCTCGCAATCCACAACCCTGGCAGAATCCTGGGGCTGTCCACAAGCTCTAAGCTACTAGTGAGAAATCACGGTGGGGTCGGCAGGTGGTGTGGTGGTTAAGAGCACTGGACACTCCCACATGGCCAAACACAGCTCAATTCCTGGACCTGGTGGCTTGCTTGCTCACTTTCCCTCTCTCTCTTTCTCACTTTGTCCCTCTCTGGTCAAATTTAAATAAATAAATAAAGTTAAATAGTTCTTTTTTAAAAAAAAAATCACTAATTACTACTAGCGTTTGCGTAAATAAAGAAGTTTATTTCCCTATCTTATACAGTTTCCTCTCTTTAAATTCGTTTGCTTATTTTCCTGGAATCCTTTCAGTGGGCTGCAATTCATGTTTAAAAACACCATCTTCGTCTTGCTTTTATTTGGCTGGATCTTTGTTGTTCCAAAATACAAAGCAGTAAATCCCTTAGAAGAAACAGGACCACTGAAAACACGGGCAGAGCTCCCAGGATTTCTAGGACAGCCATCACTCAGGCGCGTGCCCTGCAACCTAACAGGTGCCTGTCCCGGCAGGACAGGACTCGCACCCATTTAGAAGGGGACATGGGCTTCAAGGGCACAGGCTTCAGGGCGGGAAGCCAGTGGGGTGTGGTTTAGGAAATGGCTACAATGACGCAGACTCTGGGAGGAGCTATTGTGAACAGCAACTGCTCCTTCCCCAGCTGGCTTCCTCCAGGGGCTTTCAGCAGCCATAGATGGAGCTGACCAGGTGAGTTAAGTTCCTGCTCACCCTCGACAGGTGCATCAGGGGAGCCTGGGGAGACCAGTTCAAGACAAATGCAGTGGCAGGAAACCTCCGGACCAAGTGTCCAGGGTGGGAGTGGCCGAAGGAGCACAGCATTGTAAAGGGCCAGCGTGGGGTGACGAAGGCACACAGTGGCAGCAGCTCTGCCAGCCCTCGCTGTGCCCCTCTCCCGCTCACACACTCGCCCACACTCACAATCACTCACCCACGCGCTCACACATACTCCCCACTCACTCGGCTACCCGCATCCTCACACGCTCACATACACACACACATTCACCCACACTCAGGCTCACGCCCAGCTCTCACAATATGGAAACCCAACTGCTCACATTCACCAGCCCTTCCCTTACACACTCTTACATCTCACACTACACACTCCCAGTTACCCGCATCCTCACACTCATTCACCTACACGCGCACGCTCACTCATGCCCACACATACCAAAAACATACTCACACACAGTCATGCTCACATAGCATACACATACTCAGAACCAGTCACCACACCCTCACACACCAAAACCACACACACACAGCTATAAAGAGAACCAAAAGTCGATGTTTTGAGAGGTGAAATACATAGAAAAGTTCTATTTCTACTAAATTACTATTAAAATTACCAAATAACCAATACTGTAAAATACTGTTCTAGGTCAGAAATAATTGTGCCTTTTACAAATTCCAGAAAAAAAGAAGTAAGGGTAACATGTTTACAAGGAGAAATAGCCTTCTATAACCACAAAGGAAGAATAATGCAAATTACTCTGACTCAATTAAAATAAGCTCTAGCCCTGGCTTTAAATACCTGAAATAGAGGGAATGCAGACATATGTTTACATACATGTGAGGTACGTTCACGACTTGAACTTGGACACATGACAGCTCCCTGAGGACTCTGCACCACTGGACCCACCCGCCAGCAGGTTATCAGCCAGCTGCTTCCCTCCCAACAGGACCTGCAACACAGACTCAGGAAACTGGGCAACCGCATGCAGGTGAACTGAAGGGACCTCGCAGCCACCAAGGGGCACAGAGGGGCGTTGCCGGCTCTTCAAGAAGGTCTTCCATGGAGTCTAAAGTTCTGGGTTGCAGATACCTTCCAAAGAAGCTTTGACCCTCCAATCGTATGTTCAAAAATATATAGGTCTGGGCCAGCAGGTGGCATTGGGGTTAAGGTGCTGGACTCTCACATGGGTTGACCATGGTTCAAGTCCCAGACCTGGCAGCTTGCTTTCACACTTTCCGCCCATCTCTGTTTCTCCATGGTGAGCATATGAGCCCTACAGCAAATTGTTTTTCTTGCTTGTTTTTTTTTTGGGGGGGAGAGGTTTTTGCTATTGGGCACATGCGTTCACCAGAAAGACAGAGAGAGACAGAGAGAGAGAAAGTGACAAATCACCACCCAGGGGAATGGCCATGCCGCAATCCCTTCTCCTCCATTCTCCTCTCAGGATCTTGGGCACACGTGCACACACGCCCAGTGGGAGTTTAAGCCATTGGGTCCAGGACTCGACCCATAGTCAACTACATGGGAGTCCAGCGACACAGCCATTGTGCCAACTGCTGGTTCCCCTATAGCAAAATTTTAATAATATAAATAATATTAATTTTTTTTAAAGTAGGCCCAGCCTTAGTGACGTTGGTAGTAGCATACTGGTCTGCAATTGCAATGCCAGAAGCCACACAGCCAACAGTGGGTTCTGACTCCAGGTCCACCTGAAACCCACCAGGGATGTAAGCACCCAAGATCCTGACAACTCAGAGGGCTGGGGAAAGGGAACTGTGCCACTCGGAGACCCTCTTTAGGGTGCCTTTCTCTCTCTCTCTCTCATATACACACTGTCATGAAAGAAATTTCAATTGTTTTGAATTGTCAATCAATCCAGTAAACTTCTTGGCATAAAGAAAATACAAGCGCACAGGGAGGGAGGCAGCAGACGGGGTCATGCGGGTCAGGGCCCCCAGACATGTGGTGCCCAGACAGAACAGAACAGCTCAGCTTCCTTCTCCTGAGGGCACATGGACAGTCCAGCGAAACTGAGGACAGCCAGGAATGGCTAGGAAATCTACAAACACCAAAGGCATGAGTGGCCAACAACAGGGGAAAGGAGGGGAAGGAAGTGCCGGTTGCCATGAACCCATTCAGGCTGTTTTTACCAGAGGGGGCTCTGGAATCTATTTTCAATGCTCCACGCTTGAACTGAACTGCCTCTCAACACTTGGCTTAAACCTTTCCCAGATAACTTGTGGAAACAGTGGCCCTATGTCATCTCCAAACACAACCAAGTCAATGAAACTTCTGTAAGCCAACAGCAAAACCTGCAACTCACATACTAGTGCACCTTGAGGCTCAGCCGTTAACAAATTTTAAAATCCTTTAGAGTAAGCCACTTAAAATTAAGGGGGTAAGGAGAATCCTGTCACTAATTTTGACACAACGACTTTTGCCTCTTTTCTAGTGACTGATCATACTGACTAATGAAGATTTTTTCCACGCGAAATGCGAAGTATTTTGAACTTTAGCCAGGCTAATCGAGACAATTTCCAAAATGCCAAAACAGGAACTTCCTATAATAAATAACCTATCACATTTACATCTCCAATTAGAAAATCTGGAAGAAACCGTGTAGGGTGAATGCCAAAACAGAGACGACTAAAGACTGCCCACTCCACGCACTCGCCCCCACTCAGCGCCTGCTTTCGTAGCCTCCCAGAGAACACACGCTGAGCCAGGTGCATGTGTTCAATTCCCAAGGACTGCAGAGAACAGAGGAAGGACTGCGGCCAGGCTGCTGGTAAGCCCTGGGGCTGCTCACCATTGGACGTGGTGCTGGAGGCAACAGCTTTCTCGCTGACATCTGTCCGAGTGGAGCATTTCACTATGGAATTCTCGACTTTCTTCTTCTCAGTGGTCGCGGAGCTGTGGGACTGGGCCTCCATGGTGCCTTCTCATTACTTCAGCTCTCTGCTACCAAGAAGGCCTAAAGAAAGCAACACCACCATGAGCTTCGAGTGACAATGACTCAGAAAAATCACACTCAGAACGGCCGGGCTGTAGCACAAAGGTCCGATGCTCCGCAGAGCTGATCCACAGGGGACGCTCCAGGTTCCCATCCGAGCATGCAGGCACACGCATGCCCATGACCCGGAGCTGATCCACAGGGGACGCTCCAGGTTTCCATCCGAGCATGCCAGGCACACGCATGCCCATGACCCGGAGCTGATCCACAGGGGACGCTCCAGGTTTCCATCCGAGCATGCCAGGCACACGCATGCCCATGACCCGGAGCTGATCCACAGGGGACGCTCCAGGTTTCCATCCGAGCATGCCAGGCACACGCATGCCCATGACCCGGAGCTGATCCACAGGGGACGCTCCAGGTTCCCATCCGAGTATGCAGGCACATGCATGCCCATGACCCGGAGCCTGCTGAGGCAGGGTGTGGATCGCAGCGTCAAGACCATGATGGGGTGCTGTCTCTCTGGCTCAGAAAGAATTAACTTTTCAGAAAGAGACAGAAAATCTCAATCAGAAGCACACTTCGCCTGTCACCTGAGAAAAGCCTAGAACTTTAACAAATTCAAAGTCTGGACCCTTTGCCACAGGCTTTCTTGGGGACAAAAAAGTTACAATCTGTTTTGTTTTCGACTGCCAGAAGGCATGTGCACTTGCTAGGGAAGGAGTGAGAGACAGAGAAAGAGAGGGAAAGCACCCCCCTGCCCGCCATGGAACATGGTCACACCGCGATCCCTTTCCTGCATGTCTCCAACCTCAGGACTTGGGAACACACGCATGCACTTCAGGCATGTTTTTCAAACATCCAGGGCTGGGATTAAACCAGGGTCAGTTATGTGTAATTCGGTTCTCTTAACCACTAGGTTACAGGGCCAGTCCTGTCTCAAAGTGCTATTAATAAGCCAGCCAAATCCTGTCTACCCTTGCAAATGGAGAACAGACAGAAATGTCTCGATGAGGAACTTTCCCCACATTCTTACTGGGCACTCGATATCAAATGGTCTAAACATCTCTCTCATGGGACCAGTGAGAGGTGTGGTGGTTAAGCTGCTAGACTCCCATGCGGTCAACTGTGGTTCGAGTCCTAGACACCGTGTCTTAAAACTCACGCCAGGCATGTGTGCATGTGTGCCCAAAATCCTGAGAGGAGAAGAGAGGAGAGGGCCTGTGGCATGACCATCGCCCCTGGGGGCTGAGTTCTCACTTTCTGTCTCTTTGTCTTTCTCTGTCTCTGGCAAGTGCACACACCCTATAACAATAATCTCTCAAAACAAAAACAAAAACAAAAAAACCCTCGAGTTTCAGCGATGTCTGTGGTGTGAAATCCAAGAGCCACATTGCTCCTCTAAGCCACATCCACAAATTCACAAACGTTCCTTCAGGTGACCCTTCAGGAAGAGCATTAGGACACCTTCCAAAATAGGAAGTCACTAATTCTTAATCATTAATCAGACGTCTTAAAGAGCATCGGACAATTTCTCATACCCAGGTCCTTCTCCCAAGACTTGAATCAGAGGATAACTCAAACTAAGCAAGCCGGTAAGATTTTTTACTTCTTCCACTAAAACAGCTAAATGGCCATGTGTCTCAATCCAAATTCCTTTAGGTAAACTGTTCTCTATTTAAGCTTTCTTAAAACATGAGAACGTGGGAACCAGCAGTTAGCGTAATGGCTATGTCGCTGGACTCCCACGTAGTCGACCGCGGTTCGTGTCCCGGACCCGGTGGCTTAAAACTCACGCCGGGCGCGTGTGCGTGCGTGCCCAAGATCCCGAGAGGAGAATGGAGGAGAAGGGATTGCAGCGTGACCATCCCCCCTGGGGGGTGATTTCTCGCTTTCTGTCTCTATGTCTCTGTCTGTCTGGCGAGCGCACGCGCCCTACAGTGAAAATCTCTCCAAAAAAAAAAAAAAACATGAGAATGTTTCAATTCCTTTAAGTTCAATATTTTTAAAAACAAAGGTAAGAGAACCACAGCCTCTCCATCTCATAAGGAAAAGTCAAAAGATCAGCTAGAGCAAAGCCTGGGGTCACCCAGGAAATATTAAAACCCAGCGAAAAGCAAGTTCTGTGGGTCTGTCTTTCACTAGCTCCATTCATGTGCTAATTGCCCTAACTCATCATTCATCAATTTTCACTCTATTTGGTTCCTGTTCTTCCTTGCAGTCATGTTCTCCACCTACAAGGACTACAAGAAAAGATGAAATGCAGCTTCTCCAGCATGTATTCTTCAAGCTATCTAGATGGCACTCACGGGGGGCATTTTTTTCCATCTAGTCTTCTGCTTATTTTTCTACATTTAGCGGATGTTGCCATGTTCAATCAAAACAACGATTAATGAAATAAAATAAGCAATGCTTAACCAGCTAAAAAAGTTAAGATGCCAGATGAAATGTATTTAGTCATCTTTAACTCAAACTTGCAAGGAAACTGCAAATCCTTCATCTTACCACAAGTTCCCCTTGATCTGGAATTCAAGTAACCAGAAGGCTTAAGTTCCAGAGGCCACAGGGCACTCACTGTAGCACCATCTCTTCCACTAACTTCCATTTCTTTTCTGAGATTATCCAGTGTCATTCATTGTAAAACACACAAGTTATTTAAGGACAGCTTTTGTAGGAGAAAAAAAAAAAAGAAAAGCGAAACACTAAGTGCAATTTACATATCAATGGTAAGATCCACTCCAAATTCAGAAGCATCCTCTGAGAGGGCTGACAGAGCACCACAGTGAGGGGTGGCCAAGGCTTACAGTCCAGATGGCAGGGCTGCCTCAAAGGCACCCTCCTGGACTGTCCAGCGCTACCCTCCTGGACTGTCCAGCACCAACCTCCGTCAACCTGTTGTTGTTCAGCTTCAGTTGACACATGACAAACAACACTGTAGATTTAAACCTTCCTCTTTGGAATGTAGGAATGGCACTTCCTCTTTAAGTATGTGTTAAAAGTCAAGGCTGCCAGGTACCCTGGTTGTTGAGGCACTAGACTCCCACATGGCCCTCAATGGTTTGAGTCCAGGACCTGGTGGCTTGCTTTCTCACCTTCCTCCTTCCTCTCTCTCTCTCTTTCTCTGATCAAAATGTTTTAAATAATGATGATGATGATGATGAAAATGACATAATTCTTTTAAAAGAATTATCTATAAAACAAAAAAAAAAATGTGTTAAAAGTTAAGGATCGGAGTTGGCAGATGGCATGGCATGATGGTTAAGGTTCTGGACTCCCACATGGTCAATGGCAGTTCAAGTCCCAGACCTGATAGCTTGCTTTCTCACTTTCCCTCTGGCTCTCTCTTTGGTCAAATTAAAAAACAGTGATAATAAATAAAATTAAATAAGTAATCATTTTTTTAAAAAAAAGTCAAGAACATTCTTTCCAGAAAATACTTTTTCTTTTCTTTTTTTTGGTAGTGAGAGGGGATAAAGAATTATTTATTGAATTTCATGTATTTATTTTTTAAATTTGCTATAGGGCACATATGCTCACCAGAGAGAGGAAGAAAGCAACCAGGCCTGGGACTCTAACAGTAGTCAGCCACGTGGGAGTCCAGTGCCTTAACCACCACACAACCTGCTGGTCTTCAAAAAATACTCTTACACAAAAGCATACATTTGATTCTTTTCTTTCTCTCCCTTGTTTTTTTAAGAATTATTTATTTAGGGACCAGCAGTCGGCATAATGGCTATGTCACTGGACTTAGTCGACCACGGTTTGAGTCCCAGACACAGTGGCTTAAACTCACGCCGGGCACATGTGCGTGCATGCCCAAAATCTCCAAGAGGAGACTAGAGGGGAAGGGATTGCAGCGTGGTCATCCCCCTGGGGGGTGATTTCTTGCTTTCTGTCTCTCTGTTTCTCTCTGTCTCTCTGATAAGCACACACACCCTATAGCAAAATATCTCTCTTAAAAAATAAATAAATAAGGAATTGTTTGTTTAATTTTATTATTATTAATTTGACCAGAGAGAGAGAAAGGGAAAATGAGAAAGCAAGCCTCCAGGTCAGGAACTCAAACTGCAGTAGACCATGTGTGAGTTCAGCACCTTAACCACCACACCCCCACACACTTAATTTCCAAGGGATAGCAGACCCTCCAAGCTTTTCCAGTGTATCCAGATGAAGAACCCTTCAAGGAGAATTTTCTATGGTCCCTTCTAGTTCTAACAATTTCAGAATGATTCTTCCATTTCTTTTGCAGTGCTCCCCCAAAATTGACTAAAATAGCCTCTTTAAAGTGTTCCACCAAGACAACTCAACTCAATCCACACCACTGTTTCTCAGCATGGAGCAGAAAACATTTGCATCCGTGTTGCTAACTGGGTTCAATCCTCCTCCATTGGTCTTGGAAGGTACTTTTATGTTAGTAAGCACTCTCTTTATTTATTTAATTTTTTTTGGAGAGGTGTTTGCTATAGGGTGCGTGCACTCACCAGAAAGACAGAGAGACAGAAAGCAAGAAATCACCCCCCAGGAAGGATGGCCACACATCCCTTCTCCTCCATTCTCCTCTCAGGATTTTGGGCATGTGCACATAGGCATCTAGCGTGTTTCACGCCACCGAGTCCAGGACTCGAACCACAGTCCTTGTGGGAGTCCAGCGCCATAACCACTATGCCACTTGCTGGCTCCAGTAAGCACTCTTAATTGTCAGGCTCACCAAAGCTCGCAAAGTTCACACATTTATTTTTGCTCACTGCTCTACAAGCAGTGGGGCAGGTACTCATTCAATCTTTGCTGATTGGATGAACTAATGAATGTCCTGCACCCCAGTGGACTCCACTCCAACAGCCTTACACAAACCTATCCCAGTACTAATGGCATTGCCGAACAGCCTTCTTCACCCTCCAGCTGTAAGCGCCTGATGAAGCCAAGGCTCTATCAGCCCAACACCTAGTACATGTAAGAACGTCTACTCCATAAATAAATTATGGTACCGATGGCCCTGTGACTTATACAATTCTGCAATGTCT